GGGGGAAAGAAAAATTCTCAGTTTCATAAACACAAATTACACGGTGGGCACAAGTCCTGCGTCCCTTCTTTGGCAGCTTCAGTTCCAGCTGAAAAGCAATTACCTTTCTCCCTCACTGGCAACAGAAATTGGGGTCACATCTCCACTCCCTGAACGATCTTTGCTTCCTGCAACTAAAACCTTAAGGAAAACCTGCCTCTGGGTTAGCCAAACACAGCCTAATAAAAGAATTAAAAGAGGCAAAATGTGAGGGAATGACAACAAAGAGTCAAGCCTGTGCACCAGGTTCCCACAACGGAAAACACAATTCGGAATCCGAAACCTCGGCTTCAGGAGGGGCTCAAAGAGGACTTCTCAGGGTGTAGACGCGGCTTGTGACCCTGACAGAGCTAACGGGGATGGGGGTCAGTCCTGGAGAGCTGCCAACGTTGCCAGAGTCCAGAATCAAGAGATTGAGCCCAAAATTCGGTGAGGTGCGCCCGCCAGAAAAGAGTGGAGCTTGGAAGAGACTACGTGTTATGGCTTCTCGTGATCCTGCAATCCTTGCTTCCACAAGGGTAGGGCCCGAAATTAGAAATTCAGCGTTTAGGGGTGGGGGGTCGACCCTTCAAACAGAGGGGCAGAGGCAAGGCCCTGCAGACGATGCTTCCTTGTTCGGGGGCCCCTTCCCGCACCAAAGACTGGGACACCCCGGCCCTCGGGGACACAGCCGCGGGGGCTCCAGGGCCTGAGGCCGCCTTCTGGGCCAGGCCGGAGAAAAGCGCGCGGGACTCTAGGCGCGGCCTCTTTCGCTCCCCGGGTTCGCGGTTCTTGGGCCCCGGTCCGGCGGGGCAATGGGTTCCAGGAGGCCACTTCCTCCAGAGCTTAGAGCCCAGGCCTGCGTGGCCTCAGTGAGGCAGGCCCAGCGGCCCGCAATGCCGGCGACACTCACCGGCCCATCTCACGGCGCTCCTCGGGCTCCTCCCGCTCGTCCCGGAGCCACCGCGACCGCGGCCGCCGCCATCCCCGGCCCCGGAGCCGCCCCACACCCAGCGCCCCCCCCCCCGCCGGGCGCCCGGAGATGGCGTCAAGTGCGTTCCGCCCCCGTCGCAGGCAGATGGCGTCAGGGCCCGAGCCCAGGAGCAACGCCCAGGAGTACCCGGGAAGGGAGGGAGCCGGCCCCTGTCGCCCCTCACCCCTCGCCCCCAGCGCCCCCTCTGGTGGGAAAAACGAACTCCTCCCCTGGGGAAACAGGGTCACGTGAAGAAGGCTGGGCCGGCCCTCTCATCCTGACCCCACCATGACCCCTGCAGTCTGTACTCTTGTAAATTCTGGGGGTTCCTAAACAGAGCCTGGGGCGTGGCCAATAGCGACCCTCACGTCCTGGATTTCCCAGGCCTAACTCGTGAAGCCTCTTCTTGGGAACCTCGGGGAACTCCGAGGAGACCCCTGCCCAGGAGAGTAGTAAGGTGATCTCCCTGGAGACCCAGGGTAGAGATGGGAGCTCTTTGAGTTGAGAAATGGCTTTCAGGGGCATGAGAATGGACTGGACCTAGGATTTAGGGGAAGATGAAACAGTGGTGAGAATTTGCGGGATGAGAGGAAGGGGGTTCATACAGTGGGAAGGAGCTTGATTTAGTAGGAAGAGGTTTTGACTACTCGATTAAATATTAAGTCACCATTCATTGCCAATTAATTAGCCATCTTCATAGTAACATAAACATCTGATTAACAAAGAGTGAAAGCCAGTCGAATTTGTACTCTGATTACAACTGTGTAAAAAAGTAGTTCTGTATACAAAAAAAACCAGAGGGGAAAAATAAGTTTAACTATTGGAGAGACTGGATTCTGAGTGGATTTTCCCCCTTTCAGTTTCTGCAAACTCTTTTCACCAAATAACGAATGATTTCTGTTTGATTTTAAAAGTACTGGCTGGGCTCTGGTCCCTACTCTGTAGCTATCTCACCTTAGGAGAAAGTCATTTTACTACTTTAGACTTAGGTTTCCACTTCTGGAAAATGAGGAGCTTAAATTAGATGAAAGGGTGGTAGTAAAATGTAGATAAAAGAGCTCTCTATAAACATTGTAAGTGAAAATGTAAGCAAATATGTACAATGTGATATCCTGCATTTAATGTGAAACATAACATATATAAAGTCATCTTTATGTATTTATACAGAAAAGGAATGGAAGGATATGTAACAACTAGTTAACATTGGTTATCTTGGGAGAGAAAAGTGGCACTGGGTGGTAATCAAAAGATAAAAAAGGGACTTATTTGGATTTTTTATGAGAATGTTATCTTAGAAATATTTAAGATGAGTAAGTTAAAATACAAATAGAGTATATGGTCTCATCTAAGATTCTTTCTAGGGAATCATTAGACCTCAGTTTTGGTATTTTCTGACCTGGAAGGTCACAAAGGATTATCAAAATCATTGAATCCCGCCCCACCACCGCACACACATACCTTGCACCAGTGGGTGAAACACTGAAGCTACTCATCTGTAGCCATCTAAATCAGCAGAGGGCTGTGCTTCGAGGATATTAGTATTACTCATGACAGTTGTCTTCTCTCTCAATTTGGCCAAGAAGGAAGTCCTGTGGTCACTCAGTGACTCCGTTTTAGCACTAACTGGCATTCTGGTTTCTAGTTCATTGCTTAGCTCACTAAATTGGCATTAAAACTGCCAAGATAAACAAATAAATAAGCCTATACTCTTTTTTACATGAAAATGATACACGTACTGCTGTCTTTGCCAATTTTTTCCATATCAATAAATTCAAATCATTATTTTACAAAACAGGCCAAGATAGACCCTTGGATCATCCAGGTGTATTCAAGGATAGCCATTTTCTCCCAGATCAAGACACATTCTCAGAGAGCCAGTGTTTCAGACAAAATTGAAAGAGCAGACACAGGTCGATGCAAGCAAAAAGAATTTTTTGGTTACCAGCCATTAACATGATTACATAGTACAAAGGTGTGTCTGATTTTTAAAAAAACACAGGATGTTCTGATCAGTGAGACATAGGTGATTTCCTGGTTTGATGCTGCAGTCCCAAAAGAGTGGGTCATATCTCTGCTGTATCCTCTTCTAGAACTCCAAGCAATCTTCATTTCTCTGGTTGTACATATTGACAGTAGGAAGCTCCATAGAGACAGTTTTACAGGAATGTTAGTGATAAGTAAACTAACATAGTTTTTGGATTTAAGACACTAAAATAACCAAAAGTTACCCCATTTCTCCAGAAATCTGTATTATTGTCTGGAATCTGTATCATTCTCTATGTGTTATTTATAGTAAGTAAACCCAGGGTCTTATTCACTGTAGCTGGCTCAAAAAATAATTCTTGAATGAAATTTCAAAAAGATACCTCGAACTGGGAGACTCTCCTTGCTAATATTTTTGCTCTCAATTCCTCATTTCTACTCCAGTTTTGCCTATTTATTACCTGTTTTCAGTCTCTCTCATCTGAAAGTCCTTCATTTTCTTTTACCAAGTTTGTTTGTTTGTTTAATTTCCATGGGGTTTTAAGAAGTGATGAAGTGAAAGGATTTTTTTTTCATTAAAAAAATTTCTTTCCTGCCCCATGAAAGGAAAAATTTTAAACTAGTTGAGACATTTGGGAACTGAAAAGTTATACTTCAGTCTGTTTTGTCTACCTCTTCTCTTTCCTTGGATTCCCAATGAATTTCTTTGATGTGTGTAGATTGAATTTGTGTGATGGGAGAGTTTGAGCTACTCTTTGGAAGGAAAACAAGTGACCACAAAACCCTGCTAAGCTAGTTATTCTTCTCCGTAAGCAGGCAGGAGTTTCAAACCAGCTCTGTCAGTGTTGCTTAGTTCCTCATTGTTGATTTTTCTAGACCTATAGTATGGCAGGGGAAGTTTAGACAACTATCCCAACTCTTTTTTGACATTAAGGGATCAAACCAGAGAGAAGTGCTGGCAGTTTAGGAAACCGCGTGTGTCATCACAAGAAAAATAGATGGTTTTCATACTGTCCTGTCTTTTTGCTTGTATGGCTCAGCATGCAAGGGTGCCATTTTGGGAAATAACTTTATCTTTGGATGCCAATGGCAGAAACAACAATTCATCTCAAGTATATGTTGAAATTATAGAAATACTTAGCAGATTTAGCTTTCCCTAGAAACGTGTTGGTGCCTGGTATTAGATTATTTTTCAGACGTTTTCTAGATGTCCAAATGTAGAAATGTGCAGTTTTCAAGCTTCTGTTTTATCTATTTCTCTGAACAATTCTGTGTCCTTATTTCTACATGCTTTTATTTTTATTTCTTTTTAATTTTTTTAATGTTTATTTATTTTTGAGAGCGAGACAGCACGAGCAGGGACAGGGCAGAGACAGAGGGAGGCACAGAATCCGAAGCAGGCTCCAGGCTGTGAGGTGTCAGCAGAGTCTGACGCTGGGTTTGACAAACCCACAAACCGTGAGATCATGACCTGAAGTCGGACACTTAACCGACTGAGCCACCCAGGCGCCCCTCCATATGATTTTCATGTTATGTGCTTTCTCCTGATTCGAATGGGGGATCCCCTTTTCATATTCATTAATGTTTTATTTTCAAGGAGGTCTTGGAATTTCTCCATAAGTGACTAATATATCCTTTGGGAAGGGGAATCCTGATCTGTTGTCTACTTCCTCAGACACTTGCCAAAGGCTTTCATTTTTGTTAGAAACTTCCTGAAGAACTCTGAAAAGTTGCAGTCAGAACATAGATTGGAATTAAAAAAAAAAAAAAAATTAAAAAAAAAAAAAAAGGGGCGCCTGGGTGGCGCAGTCGGTTAAGCGTCCGACTTCAGCCAGGTCACGATCTCGCGGTCCGTGAGTTCGAGCCCCGCGTCAGGCTCTGGGCTGATGGCTCAGAGCCTGGAGCCTGTTTCCGATTCTGTGTCTCCCTCTCTCTCTGCCCCTCCCCCGTTCATGCTCTGTCTCTCTCTGTCCCAAAAATAAATAAACGTTGAAAAAAAAAATTAAACAAACAAAAAAAAAGAACATAGATTGGAATAAACTGAAGGAAACCTAACTAACCCTTACTTGAATTGCAAGAATCGTATCTGGGGAATTGGGCCACAGAGAAGCAAGTACATTTAGGCCACTGCCAAACAGCCAGAAATTCCTTACAGGGGCCTATTGAATGCATAAAGTAAATGTCGAAAAACTAATGCCCCCATGACATTGATAACTCTTTCTCTGCAAAACTGGCTCAGCAAGGTGATTTGCAAGCTGCCTGCAGTGCCTCCTGGTGAAATCATGTTCATCTCTGCCTTCAAAGCTGATCGCCTTCAGGTCAACTTGCAACTGGCTGTCAATTGCCAAAAACTCCTGGAAAAAAAGAAAAGTGAGTAAATACTCTAGACAGCACAGTAAGCGGCCTGTCATCACTGAGCACTACCTTCCCACACCCCATATATCTCCTAAGACATTACTTAGCAATTTTAGAATTCAAAGGAATGTTTCTGACTTGTGGAAATGATTATTATAGTGCTCAAATCATTTAAAAGTTTGGGGCACCTAGATGGCCCAGTTGGTTAAGTGTCCTGACTCTTGGTTTTGGCTCAGGTCATGATCTCTCTCTCAAGCCCCACATCAGCCTCTGCGCTAATGGCACTGAACCTGCTTGAGATTCTCTCCTTCTCTCTCTGCCCCTCCCCCACTCATGCTCCCATTCTCTCTCTCAAAATAAATAAACTTAAAAAAAATCACTTCAGGGGTGCCTGGGTGGCTCAGTTGGTTAAGCGGCCAACTTCAGCTCAGGTCATGATCTCACTCTGAGTTAGAGCTCTATGTCGGGCTCTGTGCTGACAGCTCCGAGTCTGGAGCCTGCTTGGAATTCTGTGTCTCCCTCTCTCTCTGCCCCTCCCCTGCTCATGCTCTGTCTCTCTCTGTCTCAAAAATAAACACTTAAAAAAATTTAAATCATGTAAAAGTTTCCAAAGACTATTCTGTATCTTGATTGTATCAATATCAGTATTTTGGGGGGTGCCTGCATGGCTCAGTTGGTTAAGGGACCAACTTCAGTTCGGTCATGATCTCACAGTCTGTGGGTTCAAGCCCCACGTCAGGCTCTGTGCCGACCGCTCAGAGCCTGGAGCCTGCTTCAGATTCTGTGTCTCCCTATCTGCCCCTCCCCAGCTCATGCTCTATCCCTCTCAATAATAAATGAACATTAAAAAAAAATTTTTTTTTAAATATCAGTATTTTGGTTGTGCAAAATGTTATCACCACCAGAAACGGAGTAAAAATTACTCTGGATCTCTCTGTATTGCTTCTTACAAACTGCATATGAATGTACAATTATCCCAAAATAAGAAGTATAATTTAAAAAGAAGTTTCCAAAGATTTAAAATGTAAAACAATGTCCAGATTACTGGACTTTTCTTCACCATAGCAGAGAACTTTATCTAGTCAAGCCTCTTCAAATTTGCAATAGCTATTAAGTCTGAGCTGCTGGACACATTTTTCTGGAAGGGCTTCCTTACCTTTTTTTAAACACACCAAAAAGAAAAGAAAAGAAAAGAGAAGAGAAGAGAAGAGAAGAGAAGAGAAGAGAAGAGAAGAGAAGAGAAGAAAAGAAAATAAAATAAAATAAAAGAAAAGAAAAGAAAAGAGCTATTTCTTCTGTCAGGTGACGACTCAAGTAGAATTACACCCATGAGTGGAGGTAGTAGCTGACAAGTTTTGTCTTCTTTCTTTAAATCCAACTTATTTTCTGTTGCCTTTTGCTCTTTCCTCATTTCAGTGAGTCACATGAGCCATTAACCCCTCAATAAACTGAAAAACCAATGATCTCTGATTATGAGGGGGATTCAGGTAAAATAAGTATTGTGTGTGCATACAGTTTTCTGAGTGCTCCATAAATAGCACTACTTACTCGAATTACTATAATCTATTGGTGGAGAGGCAGCTGTTACTCAAACTTCCAGATAGATTTTTGGGCATTCATTAGATAACAGGGGCCTAAGAAAAATGCACAAATGAAATTTAGGCAAACTCAATGGTACCCATCATTTTTACCATGAAAATGACGATGATTGATGGTGTACACAGAACTTGTGAATTTTATTTATTTTTTTAAATTTGTTTTTTTTTAATTTTTAAATTTATTTATTTATTTTGAGGGAGAGAGAGAGAGAAAGAGGGAAAGAGAAACCCAAGCAGGTGCTGTATTGTCAGCCCAGAACCCAATGCGGGGCTCAGTCCCAGGAACCATCATATCATGACCTGAGCTGAAATCAAGAGTCACATACTTACCTGGCTGAGCCACTCAGGCACCCCATGTAATTACACTTTCTTTTTAATTTTTATTTATTTTATTTTTAAAATTTACATTCAAGTTAGTTAGCATTTAGTCCAACAGTGATTTCAGGAGTAGATTCCTTAGTGCCCCTTACCCATTTAGCCCACCCCCCCTCCCACATCCGCTCTAGTAACCCTCTGTTTGTTTTCCATATTTAAGAGTCTCTTATGTTTTGTCCCCCTCCCCGTTATATTATTTTTGCTTCCCTTCCCTTATGTTCATCTTTTCTGTGTCTTAAAGTCCTCATATGATATTTGTCTTTCTCTAATTTTGCTTAGCATAATACCCTCTAGTTCCATCCATGTAGTTGCAAATGGCAAGATTTCATTATTTTTGATTATCTAGTAATACTCCATTGTATATGTATACCACATCTTCTTTATCCATTCATCCATCAACGGACATTTGGGCTGTTTCCATACTTTGGCTATCGTTGATAGCGCTGCTATAAACATTGGGGTGCATGTGCCCCTTCAAAACAGCATACCTGTATCCCTTGGATAAATACCTAGTAGTACAATTGCTGGGTCATAGGGTAGTTTTATTTTTAGTTTTTTTGAGGAACCTCCATACTGTTTTCCAGAGTGGCTGCACCAGCTTGCATTCCCACCAGCAATGCAAAAGAGATCCTCTCTCTCCGCATCCTCACCAACATCTGTGGTTGCCTGAGTTGTTAACGTTAGCCATTCTGACAGGTGTGAGGTGGTATCTCGTGGTGGTTTTGATTTGTATTTCCCTGATAATGAGTGATGTTGAGCATTGTTTCATGTGTCGGTTGGCCATCTGGATGTCTTCTTTGGATAAGTGTCTATTCATGTCTTTTGCCCATTTATTCACTGGATTATTTGTTTTTTTAGGTGTTGAGTTTGGTAAGTTCTTTATAGATTTTGGATCTTTATCTGATAAGTCGTTTGCAAATATCTTCTCCCATTCTGTTGGTTGCCTTTTAGTTTTGCTGATTGTTTCCTTTGCTGTGCAGAAGATTTTATTTTGATGAGGTCCCAATAGTTCATTTTTGCTTTTGTCTCCCTTGCCTCAGGAAACATGTTGAGTAAAAAGTTGCTATGGCCAAGGTCAAAGAGGTTTTTGCCTGCTTTCTCCTCAAGGATTTTGATGGCTTCCTGTCTTACATTTAGGTTTTTCATCCATTTTGAATTTATTTTTGTGTATGGTGTAAAAAAGTGGTCCAGGTTCACTTTTCTGCATGTCACTGTCAAGTTTTCCCAGCACTACTTGCTGAAGAGACTGTCTTTATTCCATTGAACATTGTTTCCTGCTTTGTCAAAGATTAGTTGGGCATATGTTTGTGGGTCCATTTCTGGGTTCTCTATTCTGTTCCATCTATCTGAGTGTCTGTTCTTGTACCAGCACCATACTGTCTTGATGATTACAGCTTTGTAATAAGCTTGAAGTTTGTATTTTTAAAAATTTGTTCTTATGTTTATTTATTTTTGAGAAAGAGACAGAGCACAAGTGGAGGAGGGCCACAGAGAGACAGACACACAGAATCTGAAGCAGGATCCAGGCTCTGAGCTGTCAGCACAGAGCCCACTGTGGGGTTTGAACTCATGAACTGTAAGATCATGACCTGAGCCAAAGTCAGATGCTCAACCGACTGAGCCATCCAGGCGCCCTGAGCTTGTGAATTTTAAACTGCATGCTCACATGTCCTTTTATTAGATCCTGGCAATCCAGTGACACATATTATTATCCAGATAAATTATATCTTCTTTTAACAAATTTAATTTAAACTTGGGAGTGCCTGAGTGATTTGAGGTATATAAAGCAAATTAGCCCTCCTTAACTAAACTTATTCCTCTTTAAAGGGAGATAATGATCTTGGTTTTCTATCATTCCAGGGATCTATTTGTAACACAAACTATAACCTGGGCACACAATAAATGTTTCCTAATATTAGTAATGGTGTAACAACAGTTCAGTATTTATCTGAAACAAGTCCAATTCCACTATAATTTCTTTTCCCTATGATGTCTAGAACAGAGAACATTTTCCTCCTTCGTACTCGGCTAAGCAACCTTTCAAGCACTGAGATTTGTGTTTATTTCAGATTTAAATGTAGTCTCATGTCAAGATTTGCTTGCAGAGAGTAACTCTGTCTTTTCGTGATTAGGAGGTGAGTATAACTCAGTGAACAGACAGGTTACATAATTTAGGGGCTCAGGTTTTCCTGACTTGTGAAAAGTCTGTTTCCCCAGGCTCAGTCATCAGTTGATAATACAAGGTGGTAAGACTTATCTCGGTGGATTGGCCTGGGACAGGCTACATTTGTTACGTCCCCAGCATTACTCTACTTGTTCATTTTATTGGCATAATATGGTGAGAAAGCATAGGCGCTTACAGTCTGAAGATTTGGCCATGTTCTAATTCAACCAGTTACTCTTAATTGTGTGACCATGGGCAAGCCATTTAACCTCTTAGAATCTCAATTTTCTCAACTGTAAAATGCAAATAACACCTCACACAGGTGTTATAGGATAAAATGAAACACCCACACCCACAAGTGGTGGGGGGGAGGGAGAGAGACAGAGAGAGGGAGGAAGAATATTAAACAGGCTTCATGCCCAGTATGAAGCCTGACGTGGCACTTGATCTCACAACCTTGAGATCACAACCTGAGCCAAAAGAGTCTGACGCTTAACCAACTGAGCCACCCAGGCACCCCTGAGAACAGTTTTTGTCTTAATATTTTATTTATTTTGGAGAGAAACAGAGTCAGCAGGAGAGGGGCGGAGAGGGGGACAGAGGATCCCAAGCGGGCTAGGATCCTCTGTCATTGCAGAGTCCAATGCACGGCTCAAACTCCCAAACCGTGAGATCATGACCTAAGCCAAAATCATGAGTCCATTGCTTAACCGACTGAACCACCCAGGCGCCCCAGGAACAGTTTTCTAAATGTAGAGCACTTCATGCATTCTTCTTTATTTTCTTTTTATTTTTTAAGCTTATTTATTTATTTTATTTTTTTTTAATTTATTTTTTTTTTCAACGTTTATTTATTTTTGGGACAGAGAGAGACAGAGCATGAACAGGGGAGGGGCAGAGAGAGAGGGAGACACAGAATCGGAAACAGGCTCCAGGCTCCGAGCCATCAGCCCAGAGCCCGACGCGGGGCTCGAACTCACGGACCGCGAGATCATGACCTGGCTGAAGTCGGACGCTTAACCGACTGCGCCACCCAGGCGCCCCTAAGCTTATTTATTTTGAGGGGGAGGAGGGGTAGAAAGAGGGGGAGCAAGAGAATCTCAAGCAGGCTTTGTGCTGTCAGTGTCAGGCTGCAGGGCTCCATCCCACAAACCGTGAGATCATGACCTGGGCCAAATCAACAGTCAGATGCTCAACTGGCTGAGCTACCCAGGATCCCCTATTCTTCTTTTTTAAATAATATTTTTATTACAAATATAAGAAATGTTCACTATGGGACATTTTAGAAAAGCAAGGCTAGCTGAAAGGATAAAACAAAGATCACCTGACAGAACACCCCCTAGAGCAATTCTTTTTTTTTTTTTTTTTCCAACGTTTATTTATTTTTGGGACAGAGAGAGACAGAGCATGAACAGGGGAGGGGCAGAGAGAGAGAGGGAGACACAGAATCGGAAACAGGCTCCAGGCTCTGAGCCATCAGCCCAGAGCCCGACGCGGGGCTCGAACTCACGGACCGCGAGATCGTGACCTGGCTGAAGTCGGACGCTTAACCGACTGCACCACCCAGGCGCCCCGAGCAATTCTTAACCTTCAACAGGTGTCAAAATTGGAGGGCTTGTTCAAACACAGATTTTTGGGTTCACTTTCAGAGTTTCTGATTCAGTGGGCTCCAAGAATCTGCATTTCTAACAGAATCTCAGGTGATACTGGCGTTGCTGATCTGGGGATGACACTTTGAGAACCATAGCCTAGTGCAAAACATTGATAACTTCATATGTGCACATATGGTATATATTTTTTATTGTTTTTATAAAAAGTTTCACACTATCATGTCACCTGCCTTTTTTATTCAATAAACTTCTCTTTGTACATGCACTTTTTTTTTTCTTTTTTTAAAATTTTTTTCAATGTTTTCTTTTTTGAAAGAGACCGAGCACGAGCAGGGGAGGGGTAGAGAGAGAGAGGGAGACACAGAAGCCAAAGCAGGCTCCAGGCTTTGAGCTGTCAGCACACAGCCTGACGCAGGGCTCAAACCCAAGAACCGGGACATCGCAATCTGAGCTGAAGCCGGAGGCTCAACTAACTGAGCCACCCAGAAGCCCCCATACATGCACTTTCCTATACGTGTGCTTTGTGCTGCAGCTGAGCAGGCCCAGAGAGCCAGGAAAGAGATTGCTGACTATCTGGCTAATGGGAAAGATGAACGAGCTCGGATCCAAGTGGAACATGTTATCTGAGAAGACTACCACAGAGGATCCATGGAGATCCTGGAGCTGTATTGTGACCTTTTGCTGGCTTGGTTCAGCTTGATCCAGGCCACAAAGTAAGACCTATTGAACTTGCACATTTTTCAGGCTCAAAGGAGTGAGAAGGCATCCCCGCACCTAGTGAGGGGGAGAGTACACTCTAACTTGCTGGTACTATGCCAAAGAACTTTGTCTCTAATTTTTATAGAAGAAGTAGTGCTGTTTGAAGAGAATATGGTAGTCCAAGGAGCCATGTTTAGAACCATATGGTTGTTGGGGAACCTAGCTGGCTCAGTGGGAACAGCATGCAACTCTTGAGCTTGGGGTCTTAAGTTTGTTAGGTGTAGAGATGCCTTAAATAATTAAAGTTGTTCTTAAAAAAGAACCATATAGTTATCTTTTTCCCCTTGAGTTTGTAGAGGAGTGGTGAAATACAGACAAAAAAAGAACCCATAATCACCAAATCTAGAGATAAGAATTTTGGTACATTTCTTTCAGTACATATATGTATTTCTTTATTTATCTATGTGTGTATAAACACATACACAGTGTGGGTATATATATAGTTATATATACACCTATGTGTATATACTGTAATTGTATATATTGGTATATATTGTAATTTCACTTAAAAAATTATTTAACATTAGCGGTGCCTGGGTGGCTCAGTCGGTTGAGCACCTGACTCTTGATTTTGGCTCAGATCATCATCTTGGAGTTTGTGGAATTGAGCCCCATGTCAGGCTCCATGCTGACGGTGATGAGCCTGCTTGGGATTCTCTCTCTCTCCCTACCCCTCCCCTATTTGCACTGTCTTTGTCTCTCTCAAAATAAATCAACTTAAAAAAAAGAATTATTTGATAATATATTTCGAACATTGTCCATGGACTATCTTTGAAGTAGGGAAAAGATGGAAACATAAAGCTCTGTGTTGCATAACTTTGTGTTCTTCTTAGGGAACTGGATTCTGGTCTGACCTAATCTGTATCTACACTAATCTGGGCAACTCCTCGCCTCCAGTCAGAGGTGCATGAGTTGAAGATAGTAAGTGTGATAAGTTTTCACTGCCTGTGCCTAACTGTAGGTGAGAGTATCACTCTTGCTACTTGTTTAGAATTGTAGGATTACTTAGAGGAATCCTTTTTTCTCTTAAAGGACAACCATAGAAATATTTTCTGCTGTTAGTGTGTAAGTGAAAAAATACTTAAAAAAAAATGGCAATGGTAGAGGGGCACCTGGGTAGCTCAGCTGGTTAAGTGTCCGACTTTAGCTAAGGTCATGATCTCACAGTTCGTGGGTTCAAGCCCCACGTCAGGGTCTGTGCTGACAGCTCAGAGCCTGGAGTCTGTTTCAGATTCTGTGTCTTCCTCTCTCTCTGACCCTCCCCTGCTCACATTCTGTCTCTCAAAAATAAATGAACATTAAAAAAAATTTTTTTTAAATGGCAATGGTAGAAAAAAATAATAAACCTTACCTAAAAAAATAAAGCAAAATTTGACAGTGGATTTCTTTCGTGTGGAGACAGGAGTCATAATTTATAAGGTATTTAGAGGGGCGCCTGGGTGGGGCAGTCGGTTAAGCGTCCGACTTCAGCCAGGTCACGATCTCACGGTCCGTGAGTTCGAGCCCTGCGTTAGGCTCTGGGCTGATGGCTCAGAGCCTGGAGCCTGCTTCCTGCTTCTGATTCTGTGTCTCCCTCTCTCTCTGCCCCTCCCCCCTTCATGCTCTGTCTCTCTCTGTCCCAAAAATAAATAAACGTTGAAAAAAAATTTATATAAGGTATTTAGAATTAGAAGTTTTAAGTTTCACATTTATCAGATACTTAAGAACAAAACACTTGTTCTGTTGCTATTGCTGTTGTTTTGATGCTAATAGAATGTAATTCCAACGAGATAAGATGAAAGTGATTTTTGCTCTTTTCGTGGTTCTTCATCTTCAAATTTGCCATAACTTGATGGATTTCACCTTTATTTTTTTCTTGGCGATGGTTTGCTTCAGGTATCTAATCAGCTGTGTGCAAAGTACAGCCAAGAATATGCTCAACTGTGTCGAACCAATGAGATCGGAACTGTCACCTCTCAGGTAGACACATTTCCAGAGACACACATTTTTCTAAGCCAAGAAATACAGGAAAAGCAAATGTAAACAAACTCAGAATGCATAATTTTGTGCAGACTGAAAGATGTTTAGAAATAAGTCTTGGGGCACCTGGGAGGCTTATTCAGTTAAGCGTCCAATTCTTGGTTTCAGCTCAGGTGATGATCTCACAGTTTCCTGGGGTTGAGCCCTGTGTCAGGCTCTGAGCTGGCAGTGCAGAGCCTGTTTGGGATTCCCTCTCTCTCTCTCTCTCTCTTCTCTGCCCCTCCCCCACTTGCACTGTCTCTGTGTCTCTAAAAAATAAAAATTAAAACTTTTAAAAATATTTATTTATTTTTGAGAGAGAGAGACAGAGAGGGAGAGAGAACAAGCAGGGGAGGGTCAGAGAGAGAGGGAAAAAGAGAATCCCACACTGACAGTGTGGAGCCTAATGTGGGGCTCAAACCCACGAACCATGAGATCATAACCCAAGCTGAAACCAAAAGTCAGACACTTAACCAACTGAGCCACCCAAACACGTTGGAGGCAGAATAACCTGTTTAAACATTTTGGACTAGGGAACTCAGATCTTTATAAAAAAGCTAGTGTCAAGCAATCTGAGATTATTTCTTTACGAAGAAAGCATACATTTTCCTAAATGTAACTGGCCTAGTAATATGAAAGAAGTTTATAAATTTAGAAGCTTCAACTTTTGAACATCTTACATCATGGCCACACAGTATAATTCAGGACTGACATTCAGCTGAGACACAGAGATCTAGCCGCAGTGTTGTTTCAGGCTGGTGGTGTTTCAGAGTTGTTTCAGGGTGTCCATTCTGACTGGATGGTGCCTTGCTGTACTGGTTGCTGAGTGTGTTGAATATCACCTTTGACATAATTCAAATACTTCCAAAATCAGAACTTTCAGTTTAAAGTATTTTTTCTTAGGTTTATTTTCTTCCTCTTATTTTCAAAGATTGAGATTCTTTCTCCCCAGGATCGGGCTGTCTTTATGATATAAGCAGGGCACCTCCTAAATTAAAAAAAAAAAGTTTTTAATTGTACTTTTACAGAACAGATACTAGAAAAATAAAGGACAGTGATTTAGACGTGAAAGACCACCTCAACTCTTTTTGTTTCTGAGTTTGTGGATATGTGTGTGACCAAATTCTGTTATGTTCTTTATCTTGCAGCTAATGTGTAAAAATTAAATGTGACTATTCTACCCCAGGTTGTAGTAGAATAGTACCTGACAGAAATTGCTAAGAACTATAATGTGCCATATAAATCCACGGCAACCATTACAGTGAATACTTTCAAAAACAAAGAATGGACTTAAAACTGAGATTTTTATTGTGCACCAGAAGATCTGTTTTCTACTTAGGAATGTGGCTTCCAGAGTAGCTCTGCCAGGATTGTAAAGCAGGTGACATTTGCACCTTTTCTCCACCCACATACTTTTCCTAACAGAGCTTGACTTCTGCTGTCACATGACCCTTATAAGTTGGTAACAATAGGGTAGAAAACAAGGATGAAGATACCTTAAGTATTATACTTACAAGTGTGTTAAAAACAAACACCCATGGCACAAAAACAGACACACAGACCAATGGAATAGAATAGAAACCCCAGAACTAGACCCACAAACGTATGGCCAACTCATCTTTGACAAAGCAGGAAAGAACATCCAATGGAAAAAAGACAGTCTCTTTAACAAATGATGCTGGGAGAACTGGACAGCAACATGCAGAAGATTGAAACTAGACCACTTTCTCACACCATTCACAAAAATAAACTCAAAATGGATAAAGGACCTGAATGTGAGACAGGAAACCATCAAAACCCTAGAGGAGAAAGCAGGAAAAGACCTCTCTGACCTCAGCCATAGCAATTTCTTACTCGACACATCCCCAAAGGCAAGGGGATTAAAAGCAAAAGTGAATTACTGGGACCTTATGAAGATAAAAAGCTTCTGCACAGCAAAGGAAACAACCAACAAAACTAAAAGACAACCAACGGAACGGGAAAAGATATTTGCAAGTGACATATCGGACACACTCAGGTATCACCTCACGCCAGTCAGAGTGGCCAAAATGAACAAATCAGGAGACTATAGATGCTGGAGAGGATGTGGAGAAATGGGAACCCTCTTGCACTGTTGGTAGGAATGCAAATTGGTGCAGCCGCTCTGGAAAACAGTGTGGAGGTTCCTCAAAAAATTAAAAATAGACCTACCCTATGACCCAGCAATAGCACTGCTAGGAATTTACCCAAGGGATACAGGAGTACTGATGCATAGGGGCACTTGGACCCCAATGTTTATAGCAGCACTCTCAACAATAGCCAAATTACGGAAAGAGCCTAAATGTCCATCAACTGATGAATGGATAAAGAAATTGTGGTTTATATACACAATGGAGTACTACGTGGCAATGAGAAAGAATGAAATATGGCCCTTTGTAGCAACGTGGATGGAACTGGAGAGTGTGATGCTAAGTGAAATAAGCCATACAGAGAAAGACAGATACCATATGTTTTCACTCTTATGTGGATCCTGAGAAACTTAACAGGAACCCATGGGAGAGGGGAAGGAAAAAAAAAAAAGAGGTTATAGTGGGAGAGAGCAAAAGCATAAGAGACTCTTAAAACCTGAGAACAAACTGAGGGTTGATGGGGGGTGGGAAGGCGGGGAGGGTGGGTGATGAGTATTGAGGAGGGCACCTTTTGGGATGAGCACTGGGTGTTGTATGGAAACGAATTTGACAATAAATTTCATATATTGGAAAAAAAAACACCCAAACACATGTGCGCACGCACACACACACACGGAAGTGTGTAAAGCTTTTTTACTTCTTAAGATCTCAATTTTATAGTGTAGTATAAGGCACTATATTTTGGTGTTAAGAGTATGAGTTCAGTAGTGAAATGACCCATATTCAGATCCTAGATTCACCATTTATTAACCATGAGACCTCAGGCAAGTGACTCACCCTTTCAAAGACTCAGTTCTCTGGACTTTAAGAAGGGGGATAATAAGAGTTAATAGTTATTACCAAATCTCATAATTTGTTGAGATGATTAAACATGCTAATATGAATAAAGAAGTTAAATGCAATGTCTGGCACTTAGCCAATGTAATCAAGTTTTGCTTTCTATCACCATCATCATCATCATCATCATCAACATCACTCAAGGTAGTCTAAGCTTCTAAAAGGTGGTCATGGAGGGTTTTAGGACAAGAGGGATTTCCCCTAATGCCTTTGAATTGCTGAAGAGGCATGTACCAAGTTGGGTAGTGTTAAGGGGCACACTTTTCTGAGGTTTTGCTGATTGTTTCCTGCTAGGACTCTTATACTCCTTTTTTCCCCCTCTTCCAAAGAGTTACATGGTTTGTTGAAAAAGGACATATTGTAAAAACTTAAACAATACAGAAAAGAACTTTGAAGAAGTAAAAGCCACATGAAATACCACTAGAGAGGTGCCCAAGGGCTCAGTCTCTAGACTTTTTCCCTTTCTTCTCTATTCTTTTTTTTTTTTTTAATTTTTTTTCAACGTTTATTTATTTTTGGGACAGAGAGAGACAGAGCATGAAGGGGGGAGGGGCAGAGAGAGAGGGAGACACAGAATCGTAAACAGGCTCCAGGCTCCGAGCCACCAGCCCAGAGCCTGACGCGGGGCTCGAACTCCCGGACCGCGAGATCGTGACCTGGCTGAAGTCGGACGCTTAACCGACTGCGCCACCCAGGCGCCCCTCTTCTCTATTCTTTAGGTGATTTCATCCTATGTCATGGTTTTCAATCCCATGTTTATGGTGAAGACTTCCATATCTCCATCACTAGCTAAGAGCTCTAGGTTGATACGAACTCCAGACTGATAAATCCATCCACTTTCTTGACATCTTCACGTGGATGTTTCAGAGGCATCTCAAACTTAACATGTCGAAAAGTGCTCTCATCCCTTTCATGGACCTACTCCTTCTTACAGTTCATGGCAATTCTATGCTAGGGCAAAATCTTGATTCTTCCTTGACTCTACCCCTTCTCTCAACCCCTACCTAGCCCCCAACCAATTTTCAGCAAATCTTGGTCACTCTACCTTCTAAATATATCCAGAATTCTGCCACTTCTCACCACCTCCATTGACGGTACTTTGATCTAACCTAATCTCTTGCCTGAATGACTGCAATAGCCTCTTAACTGGTTTTCCTGCTTCTACTCCTCTTCCCCATTAATTGATCCAATATAACAGTCAGAGATCTGGTTAATACCTAAGTCAGATCACGTTACTCCTCTTCTTTTAAACCCTTACAATGTCTTTTTAATTCACTTACGAGTAACAGGCAGCAACTTTCCTGTGATGAAGGAGGAAATGCACTCTCACCTCTTCTGTCTGGCCTCATTGTTTCTACTCTTCCCCTTATTTACTCTGCCTCAGACACACTGGCCTCTTTGTGCATCTTCAAGCACACATGCTGGTTCCCACCTCAGAACCTTTGTACTTCCAGTACTCTGTGTTCTTTAGCTATCTTCCCCGTCCTTCCCTCACTTCCTTCAGGTCTGTACTTGTGTGTTCTCTGTGAGTCACTTCTCAGCTATTGTCTCCAAAATGTCAACCTCTTCCCTCTTCTCTGCTTTATGTTTTTTCTCTATTGCTCTTAACTCTAACATACTATATAGCTCACTTAGTGATTTTGTTTATTATCTATTTCTTCCACTGGAATATCAGTTGTATGAGGACAGGGACTTTTATCTGTTTCGTCCACTGTAGCATCCCTAGCACTGTCAATAGATTTTTGTCAAAAGAATGAATAAATTCAGAGTTTACCACTGCTCAAGTTTGATAAATGTTCTTGTAGACCTACCTATGCATGTTTATGTGCAGTTCCTAATCATTGATGTACTACAATGTCTGACCGCATAGGCACTCAAAATATAGTCTTTGAAAGAGAGAGAAAGAAGTTGGTATGGGCCAGAAGCTTGAAGGTTGCTTTATCTGTCATCAACTTAACTTACATTAAAGTATGAAATTCATGAGGGCAGGAACCATGTCTCCTTGCTCACCATTTCCTCCCCTGTGCTTCTAAGAATGTTTGGCATCTAGTAGGTACGTGATAAACAAATGTGTGATAAGTTGAGAACACAATGTGACTCTTACCCTCTTGCCTTAGGTGGAAGCCCTGGCAGACCTGGTCAGTATTGGATTTACTGAGGATGTTAAGAAAGGTGCTGTTGACAGAGCAGGTGGAACTTTAGCAGGAACTGGTGATCCACTTGAGGCATCACCAATATCTGCACTGGGACCCTTTCCTGTGGGACCCCCAGCCTCTTGTTTTTTATCCCTTCCTCCTGAAAGACAGGTCAGTACAGAGAGGGAAACTGATTCTGGGATGGGACTACCAGTAGTGTTAAAATATATTTCTACATGGGCCTTTTGAATGGTAGAAAAATCTTAGTGATGTTTTTTAAGGCTAGGGGGCATATTTGCAGTCATTTAGCTGACATTTGATTTTTTTTTAAATGTTTATTTACTTTTGAGAGAGAGAGAGACCGAGCATGAGCAGGAGAGGGGCAGAGAGAGAGAGTGAGACACAGAATCTGAAGCTGGCTCCAGGCTCTGAGCTGTGAGCACACAGCCCAATGTAGGGCTCAAACTCACGAATTATGAGATCATGACCTCAGCCAAAGTCGGACGCTTAAGAGGTTTAAGAGACTGAGCCACGCAGGCTCCCCAATTGATGTGTTTTTATGCTGAACTCATGAGAAAATAGGCCTGTAGTTTTTTATCAATCTCTTGACAATACCACAATATGGACTGCAAGGAACATTTTTATGAGCTGGACAAATTTGAAAGTCTTTCATGTACAATGATTTAGACACATATTTCAATATTGAATTTATATGTAGGGGAAACAGTTGTCTTCTCTTGTTGAAAATAGTATAAAGATCTCAAAACTTTGTAGACATAAATCTAGAGAAGTCAAATAAGTAAAAGCTAAAGAGCCATAGACATTAATTCTCTTTACTCTGTTCCTTC